GAGAATGAAGAACACCAAAGACACAAGGAAAGTATTAGCCCAAGAGACAGAAAGGGCCACATAAACCAGAGACTTCATCTGCCTGAGACCAGAAGAACTAGATGGTGCCCAGCTACCACCAGTGACCACCCTGACAGAGAACAGAATAGAGAGTCCCTGATGGAGCAGGAGAAAAGTGGGGTGCAGAACTCAAATTCTAGTAAGAAGACCAGAGTTAATGGTCTGATTGAGACTGGAGGAACCCCGGAAACCATGGCCCCTAGATTCTTTATCAGCCCAGAACTAAAACAATTTCCGAGGCCAACCCTTCAGACAGGGATTGGACTGGACTGTGGGACATAAAGTGATATTCGTGAAGAGTGTGCTTCTTAGTCAAGTAGATACAAGAGTCCAAAGGGGCAGCTTCTGTCCAGAGGTTATATGGGAAGGCAGAGAGGGTTTGGAGCTGGTTGAATGGTCATGGGGAATCGGGTGGAAGGGAGGAGTGTGCTGTTGCAGAAGGGGGTGAGCAATTAGGGTCACGTGACAATGTATGTATAAAATTTTGTATGGGAGACAAACTTGAAATGTAAACTTCATTTAACTACAACAATTAAAAAAAAAAAGACCCCAGATGCTACTCACCAAGGTAGAATGTAGAGCATTATCTTGATAAACTGTGTTACATATATCTTTCTTACGGGATCAAACACTTACACTTTTGAATCATACCTATTTATGAACTTGCCTTACCTTCTCTTCTGCAATCTAAGCTCCTTGGGTCAGGGCCTTGTGATTTTGATCTCTGTATCTCCCAAGTGCCTAGTATGGTGCCTGAAACTTAGGGGCTGAAAAAGGATTTGGATGAATATGATCATATAGCCAATAGATGAAGATTGGAATGATAGCAAAGCTCTGTCTCCTATATCTTTAAATATTTTAAATTAGAAAAATACTTATTTCAAACCAGAAAATATTCTGAATATTTTTTTTGCAAGTAAGCTTGATGAATGGTAAAACCATTTTTTCTTAAAATGCGTCTTATTTAAGTCACTAAACTTAATTACGTATTAATTTTTTGTTAATTGGAGTATGCAGGTGTTTCTTTAACTATTTTGCCTCATTTAAATTATATTTAATGCAGCTTACAAAAATACACTGCAGCTTAATCAAAGTAGAGGAAATTATGAGTAGAATAGTAAGATGGGGCAGGGGAAAAGTAAGTACACATAAAAGCATACTGTAAAATTCTATAGTTACTAAAGCTGAGAAATAGCAAATGTAATAACATTTGGAACCCCTCAGCTCTTCTATATTTAATGTTTCCTCTTTAGTGATGTCAGAGAATAATATTCGTATGCTCTAGGAGTAGTTTCTGCATCATTTGATAATAAATTGAAAATAGAGGCAATTTGTTTAAATAAAGTCCAGTAGAATGAATATTAAGGGGCAGTCTATTCTGTGACATCAAATTCTGTGTGTGCAGTATGATTTTACATTTAGAGACTGAACTGTTTTTGTTACACAGAGAATTTTGTTTTGAATGTGTGACCTATAGTACTTTTTATTTTTAGTTCAATCTTTCAGTGTCTTAATATTGTAAAGGTTACAAGTAACCATAAGCTGTTTCCTAACCTGCAAAGCTGCTTTTTAATAGAAAGGTCTGGAAGAGAGAAAATGTGTGTGTGTGTGTGTGTGTGTGTGTGTGTGTGTCCAAACACTGCCACAAAATAATTGGATCCCATTGTCAAAGTCAGTGAACTGCTGAATATACCCTGCAAGTGAAGTTCTTTTTAAGCAGCCAGAGAAAATCAATCATTGCTTTCATTGATACTGTGTATTTTGATTAATGAAGTTCTGCTTTTGATATTGACATTTCTTTAAATGCAGGTGAAGATGCTTTTGATGCCCTCCCTCCATCCCTTCCACCTCCCCCACCTCCTGCAAGGCATAGTCTTATCGAACATTCAAAACCACCTGGCTCCAGTAGCCGACCATCCTCAGGACAAGACCTTTTCATTCTTCCTTCAGGTAGGAGGGGAAAGGCAAAGAAAATTTTTTCACTTAAAGCAAAAACATCTCTAACTTACACTGTCAAATAAACATTACCGTAATAATTCATTCATTTCTAGCTTGCTAGCAGAAAAATCCCTGGGTGTTGAGAGTAGCATTAGGGTGGGCCCATTTGTTGGTTGGTTTAATGCTGAAAGAATTTCAAAGACTGAGAGCAATAGGAATCAGAGGATAGAAATGGTGCTGTAGAGGTTATCCAGTGCAGCTGACACCCTCATGCTACAAAAGACATTCCTGAGAACGAGAAGAGCTAAGTAGTTTGGCTAATAGTGATGGGAGCAAAATTTAGACTGTCTCTCAATTCCTAGTATATATTTTTTCTAATAATAAGTGTTTACATTTTTACTGGGTATCTTTTAGGGCCATAATTTTGTTCAAAAAAACTTTTGGCAAATTATGTTGATAACAACACACAAGTTTTTATGCAATATGTGTATTGTTTTGCTGTTACTTTTATTTCTAATGTCTAAATGTGTCCACTCCACAAATACTGGTCTTCAAGAAAAATTAATACATAGCTTTAAAAATTTTTTTAAAGTGAGTAGTAGAAATAAAATGAATAGACTAGAGAGAACCTTCTATTCCATTTATCACAGTTATGAGGAAATAAAATAAATTCAGTTATGTTGAGTCTGCTGATTTGAATTGTTATAATCTGTCCTGTTAGTGATAATATGATCTACTCTGTGCACCATTTGCCTTCATGATTTGGTTTGGTTAAATATAAGGTAACGATTCTCTTTCTTGAGGCAGAGCCAACATGACACCCTAGACAGACAACATCATGCTGTCCCTCTACAGCAACGACCTAAAAGACTAGGTAAAACAGATAACAAACGTCAGTCTTAGAACTGTAAGCATCAAATGAAGGGGTAAAGAACTAGATCAAACACTGAATGGAAGAAGAAACTGAAGGAAAACACAGAACAAGGAGAGATACGGAGTAGAGGTCCCCTGCCAACTAACACGGCACAGTGTTGCTATCTTGGAGCACAGCCAGCAACAACCCTAGACAGACAGTATGGGAAGGCAACTTCACGGAGCTCCCAACATGAGACAGAGCACCTGGTAACCAGAAGAACACTTTCCAACCCCTCACCATTCTGCGACACATACCACCCCTACCCCTTCCCGATGGGCCATGCTGCATTACTCAGCAAGAGAGTTATCAGCCCTCTGTCACCCCGAATTCTCCCTGTCCCCACCTGCCAGCAACTGCTGTGCCATATTTTTCCCTCCCTTTTCTTTCTACTTCCCACTGTCACTCTGGTTCCACCCTGCCCCCAACTGCTGGCTCCTGCTGCTCCATTTTTCACCTTTTTCCCCTTTGTTTTCTTTCTCCCTCCCACCTAGCCCTGTATGCCACCTCTACCCTTCTTGCTGGGCCACACAGCACCACCATAGCTAAAAAGCCACCGGGTCCACCCTGCTGCCACTCGCTGGCTCCTGCCACGCTGTTTTTTTTCTTTTCCCCTTTTTTCTCTCCCAGCCACATAGCCCCGCATGCCAACTTAGCTCCTTCCCACCGGGCTTCAACGCATTGCTGCGGGTATAGAGCTACTGGCCTGCTGCCACACCAGGTGCCTCTAGGCAGCTCCCACCATGGCATTTTTTTCCCCCTTCCTTTTCTTCCTCTCTCCTAACCCCTGTATGCCACCTCTACCTCTTCGAGTCAGACCATGCCGCACTGCGTCGGGTAGAGAGTCACTGGCCCATTGCCACCCCTGGTCCACCCCACCCCCCACCTGCTGGCTCCCACCTCGCCATTTTTTCCCCTTTCTTCCTTTTCTTTCTGTCTCCCACCAGCCTCATACAATAGCTCTACCCCTTCCCACCGGATCACGCTGCACCACTGCGGCTAGAGAGTCACTGGCCCACCACCACCCCGGGTCCACCCCACTCCCACCACACCATTTTTCCCCCTTTTCTTTCTCCCTCCCACCTGGCCCTGTACCCCACCTTCCCTCCTTCCCGCCAGGCCATGCTGCACCACCACTGCAAGAGTCACTGGCCTGACGCTTTCTACCTCCCACATAGCCCCATACACCACCTCCCCACTTTTCCTGCCAGCCCCCAGGTCCACCCCACCCCTACCCATCAACTACTCCCCTTTTTTTATTTGTCTCTCTTTGGTCCCCCCACCTAGCCCTATACGCCATCCCACCTTTCCACCAGCCCTCACCATGCCACCATGGCTATACTATTCCTGGTTCAGGCCCACTGCTATACCTTTACCACTCTTCCTCTGACACCCCCACCTATCTGGTGAGGGGCTGTTAATGCTCCCACACCGCTGGATTTAAAGACCAAAATCAACCAACATAGACATATATGGAACACTCTACCCAACAGCAGCAAAGTATACATTTTTTCCCAACGCACATGGAACATTCTCTAGAATAGACCATATTTTAGGTGACAGAGCAACCCTCAATAAAATCCAAAATGTCAAAATAATACAAAGCATTCTCTAAGAACATAGAAGTAGGAATCAATAACAAAAAGAATAAGGAAAGAAAATCAAATACTTGGAAATTGAATAGCACCTTGCATAAAAACAACTGGGTAATAGAAATCAAAGAGGAAATAAAAAACAATTCTAGGATCAAATGAGAATGAAAAAATATCATTCAAAAACCTTTGGGACGCAGCAAAGGCAGTGCTCAGAAGTCAGTTTATAGCAATAAATACATCAAAGAAGAAGAGTAGGCCAAAATCTAAACGTTAGCCCTACAACTCGAACAAGTAGAGGGAGAACAAAAGAAGCCCACAGCCACCAGAAGAAAGGAAATAATAAAGATTAGAGCAGAAATAAATGAAATACTGAACAGAAAAACAATACAATTAAACAGACCAAAAGTTGACTTTTGAGAAGATCAACAAAATCAACAAACCATTGGCCAAACTGAGAAAAGAAAAACAGGAGAGGAAGCAAATAACCCAAATAAGAAATGAGATGGGACACATTACAACAGTCCCAGCTGAAATAAAAAGGATCATAACAGAAATACTATGAAAAATTGTACTGTAACAAATTTGAGAATCTAGAGGAAATGGACAGACATCTAGAAATATACTACCTACCTAAACTAACACAAACATAGGTAGGACAACTAAATAAATCTATAACAAAAGAAGAGGTTGAAAAAGTAATTAAAAAACCCTCAACAAAAAGAAGTCCTGGCCTGGACAGTTGCACTGGAGAATTCTGCCAAACTCTGAGAAGAGTTAACACCACTTCTACTAAAAGTATTTCAGAGCATAGAAAAGGATAGGATACTCCCAGACTCATTCTGTGAAGCCGGCATAAAGCTGATACCAAAACCAGGTAAAGACACTACAAAAAAAGAAAATTAAAGACCAATATCTCTCATGAATATAGATGTAAAAATTCTCAACAAAATTCAGTCCGGTGGACTTTAGCATCATATCAAAAAAATAATGCACCATGATGAAGTGGGATTCATATCAGATATGCAAGAATGGTTCCACATTAGAAAATCAATCAATGTAATCCACCACATAAATACAACAAAAGAAAAGTATCACATAATCATCTCAATCTGTGCAGAAAAGGCATCTATAAAGTCCAACACCCATTCCTGATAAAAACTCTTAAATAGTAATAGAAAGAAATTCCTCAACATAATAAAAGACATCTTTATGAAACCAGCAGCCAACATCATTCTCGATGGAAAGAGGCTGAAAACATTCCCCCTGAGAACAGGAACAAGAAAAGAATGCCCTTTATCTCCACTTCTATTTAACATTGTGCTGGAAGCCCTAGTTAGAGCAGTAAAGCAAGAAAAATAAATAACATCCAAATTGGAAAAGAAGAAATAAAACTGTCCCTGTTGGCAGATGATATAATCCTATACATAGAGAACCCCAAAGATTCCACAAGAAAACTACTGGAACCAATAGATTCAACAGAGTAGCAGGATATAAGATCAACATAAAAAATCAGATGTGTATACACCAACAAAAGAGAACTTTGAAAAGGAAATCAGGAAAACAATACCATTTATAGTAGCCCCTAAAAGATAAAGTACTTAGGAAAAAATCTAACCAGGGATGTAAAAGATCTATACAAAGAAAACTACAAAACGCTACAGCAAGAAACAAAGAGAGACCTACATAAATGGAAAAACTTACCATGCTCATGAATAGGAAGACTCAACATTGTGAAAATGTCAATTCTGCCCAAAGCGATCTACAGATATAATGCAATCCCAATCCAAATACCAACAGCATTCTTTAATGAGATGGAAAAACAATCAACTTTGTGTGGAAAGGAAAGAGGATCCGGATAAGCAAAGCATTATTGAAGAAAAAGAACAAAGTAGGAGGCCTCGCACTACCTGATCTCAGAGCCTACTATACAGCCACTGTAGTCAAAACAGCGAGGTACTGGTACGACAGCAGACACATAGACCAGTGGAACAGAATTGAAAACCCAGATGAAAATCCACCCACTATGGCCAGCTGATCTTTGACAAAGGACCAAAGTCCATTAAATGGGGAAAAGACAGTCTTTTTAACAAATAGTGCTGGCAAAACTGGATATCCATCTGTAAAAAAAATGAAACAGGACCTGTACCTCACACCATATACAAAAACGAACTCAAAATCAATCAAAGACTTAATTATAAAACTTAAAACAATAAAGACCGTGGAAGAAGAAATAGGGACAACACTAGGGGCCCTAATACGTGGCACAAAGAGAATACACACCATAAGTAACAATAATGCACAAACACTAGAAGAGAAACTAGATTAAGTAGGACTCCAAAAATTAAATACTAATGCTTATCAAAAGACTTCACCAAAAGAGTAAAAAGAGAACTTACAGACTGGGGGAAAAAAAATTGGCTATGGCATATCTGACAAGGATCTAATCTCTAAAATCTATAGAAGACTTCAGCACCTCAACAACAAAAAGACAAGCCAGTTAAAAA